CTCTATTTCATGTATTTCCACTTTGATATTTATTATTTTCTTCCTTCTACTAACTTTGAGTTTTGCTTGTTCTCTTTCTAGTTCCTTTAGGTGTAAGCTTAGATTGTTTGTCTTAAATTTTTTCTTGTTTCTTAGGATGGGTATGTATTGCCATAAATTTCCCTCTTAAAGTACTTTTCCTGTGTCCCATAGATTTTGAACTGTTGTGTTCCCATCTTTATTTGTCTCATGGTATTTATTTATTCTTTCTCTGTTGTCTCATTGTTTGTTTATTATCATGTTGTTTAGCCTCCACATGTTTGTGGTTTTTCCAGTTCTCTTCTTGTCATTGATTTTATTTTCATACCATTATGGTATGAAAAGATGCTTGATATGATTTCAGTCTTCTTAAATTTATTAAGACTTGTTTTGTGACCTAACATGTAACCTTTCCTACAGCATGTTCCATGTGCACTTCAGAAGAATATGTATTCTGTTTTTGGGTAGAATGTTTTATATGTCAGTTAAGTCCATCTGATGTAATGTGTTGTTTAAGGCCAGTGTTTTTTATTGATTTTCTGTCTAGATGATCTATCCATCGAAGTAAGTGGGTTGCTAAAGTCCCCTACTATTATTGTATTACTGTCATTTTCTTCCTTTATGTCTGAATTTACTTCTTTTTTTTTTTTCCACCAAATCTAGTAAATGTTACCCATGAGCTATCCTGGATAATAGCAGTATCCATTGATAGGCCTGTTAAACACACAAGCAATGAAAAGCCCTTCCAGAAATAATTTTTAGTACTTACCTAGTTATTATATTCCTCTGGAAGACAGTATAAACTCTCTGTTAGAATTATCATTTTTTTTAATTCTTTTAACTTAAAATATAGTTTGCCTTATATGTAAATATCTTTTGTATCTAATTACTGGAAGAATGGGGATATAATGTTCTCATAAACTTTTTCCTAAACATTTGACTATGTAAAAAGTGAGGCACAGTGCTATCTACAGATGTGTATATATATGCACACATATGAAAAATACACGTGTGATTTAGAGGTATGTAGTTCAAGTTTAAAATACTTACCGTATATGATTGACAAGATGACAGTGCATTGTGATTTTTGCCACTGTAGTTTTATGTCACAAAGATATTTCTCTTCTTATTTACTATGACATAACAGGCTACTTTTTATTATCCAGACTATCTTTCTGACTCTTTAGGGGAAAAAAAAAATAGGACCAAACAGTCAAGTCTCATTATCTATTGACAGTGATAGACAGGAAGCACATGGATATTTAAACCCATTGTCAAATACAGCCTATAAAACTACAGTAGCCAGGATTTTCTACATAGTCCTTCTGAAAGCCTATTGTTAGAGTTGCTACTGATAGCTGAGATGGCATTTTTGAATTTCAGTTTCATTTTCTCTTCTTGCCTTAACAAAGATATTAATGAACCATGAGTTGAGTCGAAGTCTTGGAGTGTTTACAGAGCTAGACAATCCAAGCACAAGCACCCCTGAAATACCAATAATTGGACTGACATTTAACTTAATGCATTTCTTACATTTTTGTTGGGTCTGGACTGCCACTGATTTGTGACCTGACATGAAACTAAAGAGGAGTTGTTTGAAAACATGCTTCCTTAGTGAAAAGAATCTTCCATACATTCTCTGCAGAATGAGCAGTGCAGGTAGAGAGTTGATTGTGGTTTGATAAAGCACATTTGTGACTTTCTAATTACATTCTCAAATAAAGCTCAGAGTGTGTTTTCCTCTGAAAAATGTCACGGTCCAAGGAAAGATTTGACCACACCTGTTCCTAATGTGTGCGGGACCTAAAGCATGAGTAAAAATGGAGGCCATGGGCCATATACCGAAATTTAATGTCATAAATAAAGCTCTCAAACTATTAAATAGATGCAACCTGTGCTCTTTTTGTGATAATATACCTTCAGTAATGTCCCAGAAGGAAAGATTTGAATTTAGAATTCTTGGACTCCATGAAGTTCATGTCAGAGCATGACATTATGGAGTTGAGTTTTCACCAGCCCCCCTTTCCTTTTTGTCCTACACAACTAAATTCCATCATGACCCCCCAAAACAACTGCCCTTGGCCACCCCTTGGGTAAACATAGCTTCTCAAATTCTAAGGATAATCTCTATACACATAGATATGCAACACTTAAAACCATTCCTGTATTCTCCAGAATTCTCCTGGTCTTCCCTAAATCATTGCAGGTTAAATGGGAAATGATAATGATAATGGCTACCAGTGATTATACCTACCAGACATCAATGTAAGTTCTTTGCATATTTTATCTCAGGTATCAGCATTTTCCCTTCTTGGGGCTAAGTATTTCAATAAACCAAGACAATATATACATATCTCTCCCAATGTATACATATATGTATACATACATACACATACTCACATGTGTGTGTGTATGTACACACATCATTTTAGCTATTGTTATTTCAAGAAGTATGTTTTCAAAGTTGCCTTCCTTCCCTTTCCTCAGTGTAACATTTTAGAAAAACACTACCTTGAAACAAAACAAAGTTCAGGAAACAAGAACCTAGCTTGACCACTACCTGTAAGTATCCATACAGCAAATCACTTGTTCACATACTAATTCAGTCTTCAGTCCCTCCTAACATTTGGATTGTGGAGAGAGTAATGAACTTGCCTTGATTTTCATAGGGTAAACTGAGGCCTGCCCTCTCCCTTTAACTGCTGGAAAGAAATATAGCACTGCTAGATAATGCTGATCTCAACCTTTGGGGTTGAATGATGTGTGGCAGTTAGCCTACTACTTTTTTTTTTTTTTTTTTTAATCATTTAAAGGATGAGGCGTTAAAGCAGCTTTGTGTCCTTATTCATTGTAAAGTGTAACTATTTTAGTAGGTGTTACAAGAGAAAAGGAAGAAGTGTGGAATTTGATCCTCTGTGCCTTGGCTTTTTTTTTTTTTTTTAACATTTATTTATTTTTGAGACAGAGAGAGACAGAGCATGAACGGGGGAGGGGCAGAGAGAGAGGGAGACACAGAATCAGAAGCAGGCTCCAGGCTCTGAGCTATCCGCCCAGAGCCTGACGTGGGGCTCGAACTCATGGACCTCGAGAACGTGACCTGAGCTGAAGTCGGACGCTCAACCGACTGAGCCACCCAGGTGCCCTGGTGCCTTGGCTTTTTTGAAAAAGGAAATGCCGTATCTGAAGATAGCCCCATCGACTCTCCTGGGGTGTGCTGGAGTGAACTTGTTTTGAAAATGCTGGCTTTGTCAACAGAAATGGAAATCCTTAAAACCGGGATGCCTCGGTGGCTCACTTGGTTGAGCCTCTGACTCTTGGTTTTGGCTCAGATCATGGTCTCATGGTTTGCGAGCTTGAGCCCTGCATCAGGTTCTGCGCTGGCAGCACAGAGCCTGCTTGGGATTCTCTTTCTCTCCTTCTCTCTGCCCCTACCCTGCTTGTGCTGTCTCTGTCTCTTTCAGAATAAATAAATAAGTAAATAAACTTAAAAAAAAGAAATCAGGAAAAAAAAAACCAACAGATAAAACAAAGGGAAAAAAAGTAGCCATAGAAACTGAGAAGTAGAATTAAGAGAATGTTGGAAATGATCACAAGTGATTAAGTACACGAATTAATATCGTTTTCAACATTTGTCCAGTTCTTCAGTTCCTGGTGCCTGCTTTTGGGTTTTTTGTTTTGTTTTCTTTTAATGTTATTTGTTTTTGAGAGAGAGAGAGAGAGAGAGAGAGAGCACGAGCAGGGAGGGGCAGAGAGAGAGAGGGAGACATAGAATCTGAAGCAGCCTCCAGGCTCCAAGCTGTCAGCATAGAGCCCGACACGGGGCTTGAACCCTTGAACAGTGAGATCAAGACCTGAGCTGAAGTCAGTCACTTAGCTCACTGAGCCACCCAGGTGCCTTCCCTGGTGCCAGTCTGGTCAGAGCAGGTAGCACGTTCTTGGCTTTCTCTCCTTATTAACTTTCACTTCCCAAAGCCACCTTGAGTAAAGAGACAAATCATAAGAGACTCTTAAGTACAGAGAACAAACTAAGGGTTGTTGCAGAGGAGGTGGGGGATGAGCTAAATGCGTGATGGGCATTAAAAGGGCACTTTTTGCGATGAGCACGGGGTGTCATATGTAAGAGAGGAATCACTGGGTTCTGCTCCTGAAACCAAGACTACACTGTTTGTTAACTAACTTGAATTTAAATTAAAAACAAATAAAAATAAAGACATGTTTAGCCAATCTTCAGAAACTACTCAAAGTGATGCCTCAGTTTACAAAACGAACCAAAACTAGGTTGGGCTGGGCTGGATTACCGCTGCGCTTTGCTGCAGCATCACACGTACGTGCACAGTATTCCTTGGTACCCACAGCACCCAGGAAGGTTCCCCGTCACGTCTGGAGCAAAAGGAAGGAGCGTGTTTCGGTCTCCGCTTTGAAGCTGTCATGTTAATTGCGAACTTTTGCTGAGTCCGTACATTAGGAAAGGTAACCATCTCAGCATGTTAAGATCATAACTGCTAGATTAATGCGTAGAGGCAGCAGCTGTGCTGATGGGAGGCATTAATGCCTAGATGAGTTCAATCAGACGTGCCGCCTCCAATGTCTTTGTGTGATGGTATTTACTCGATTTCAAATGGACTGCTGAGAAAAATGAAATACAATCTCATGTATCTCGGTCTAGAAAAAAAAAAAAGATAATGAAATTGTTTTCTTGCCGGCTTATATTTTATTAACCTCTGTGGAGTCAACTTTAAAGAACAGATGTCCCTCTAGAGTTGAAACCTTTTGCTAAAAGTGGAGCATTATTAAGTGCAGCTGTGAGTTCTAGGAACGGTGGGGTTGAGTAGAGCAGGTGAGTGTTTTGTTTTGTTTTGTTTTAAACCACTCAGAGAATAATAGGGCATCTTCTGGGGCCAGCCAGAGAGAGAAAGAAAAAAAAAATGCAATGCAAATTGCGTACAACTGAATTCTTTCTTCTTTCTTGTTCTTCCTTGCAGAGTGTGGAGAAAGTTCTTGTGGAATTCAGTCACCAGGAGTTGTTTGATTTCTATAACAAGGTCTGTATTTTTCAAATAATTTCTGCTGTGTGGGGTTTTGCATAATGTTTCCTTCATTTTTATGAATCCTTATTTTTAAATGCCCTATTATGGCGCTAAGTTCTTTAAACATCCCTTGTAAACACCTTATGTTTCACAGCAGGAAGCTTTGCGGAGATGGAGAGAATCTGACAGCCTAAATCAGGAAGAAAGTGGAAATGGTTTTAATTAAGGCAATAGGATTATTACTTTAACGTAAAGCATTAAGGAGTGAACTATGTGGTACCTAGCCACACTGGCACTTTATAATTTAACATTAAATATTTTAATTCTGGGCCCAAGGAAAAAGGGAGGTGCCAAGCCTGTAAAGATTTAACTTTGAGTGCATGTTATGTTTCTTTACAAATACTGACTTTGTAATCCAGGGAAATGTACTCCCCCTCCTCCTTTTCCCCACCTTCAAAAATCTTATGTAGTGATCACTTAAATTAAAACCGCTGAGTATATTTAAAACTGTATTTAGCCCTTTTTTGTTTAAGTGTATTTTTTTTATTTTTGAGAGAAAGAGAGAGAGAGAGAGAGAGAGAGAGAGAGAGAACGAGTGGAGGGGCAAAGAGAGAGAGGGAGACACAGAATCTGAAGCAGGCTCCAGGCTCCGAGCCATCAGCACAGAGCCTTATGTGGGGCTCAAACTCATGAACTGTGGGATCATGACCTGAGCCAAGTTGGGTGCTCAACAGACTGAGCCACCCAGGTGCCCCAGGTTTTTGTTTTTTTTTTTTTAATGTCTAGTTATTTTTGAGAGAGAGAGCGAAAACGCACAAATGGGGGCAGAGAGAGAGGAAGACACAGAATCTGAAGCCAACTCCAGGCTCCAAGCAGGGCTCAAACTCACAAACTGTGAGGCCATGACCTGAGCCAAGTCGGATGCTTAACTGACTAAGCCACCCAGACACCCCAAACCATGTTTAGAAATCCTCCTTTACAAATTTGTAAACTTAAATTGCAGGCGTGAATTGTAATATCTTCCCATAAGAAGAAAACTTTTCTGCGTGCTTCATCTGTTGCTGTGTAAATGGATTTAATATGCACGGTTGCCACTGCCATTCTTTCCCTTCTATTTGCAAGTTTCTGAACAAACCTTCATAGCATTTCTCTGCTTTCAGCAACTTGTTCTCTTGTTCTATCTTTATAAATAGCTGGAGACCATACAAGCACAGCTGGATTCCCTGACGTGATGTTCTCGAAGACTGGTTTCCCCATCACACTCTTGCCACCTCATCATTCCGCCCTGAAGATAGACTGCCAGGTTGTGTTTTCAGAAGGATTCAGTAGCTTTCTTCTTGTAAATTACCCGGCTTATCACTTCTGAGAGAAATAACCGCCAAGGGAGATCATTGTTTCCAGAGCTTCTAGGACACATCCCCTCGTTCTTTGAACAGCAGCAAACAGTTGTTAAGAATACTTTTGCTTTAAAGGAAACAGCAATAGGGGTGCTTGGGTGGCTCATTTGGTTAAGCCTCCGATTTCCGCTCAGGTCATGATCTCACAGTTTGGGAGTTCGAGCCCTGCATCGGGCTCTCTGCTGACAGCTCAGAGCCTGGAGCCTGCTTTGGGATTCTGTGTTTCCCTCTCTCTCTGCCACTCCCCTGCTCATGCTCTGTCCGTCTCTCTCAAAAATAAATAAAAACATTTTTTAAATTTTAAGGGAAAAAAAAAATAAAGGAAACAGCAGTAAATACCATACTGTTTTTATTGTCTTGTTTTTGCTTTATTGCCTGACCTGTTTATTTTTTACATTTTTGATGACACCTTTATGTATCAAGGAGGGTTCGTGGATAGTCCATGGATGCAAAGTATAATGTGTACCTCGGAATACAGAACGTGGCTATTTATATTAACAAAAGCAAGAACAGAACCAAATGCAATCAGATACTTCCTTTTTCCTTGAATATAATGAGTATGTTTGGTTGGGAAGTAACATAGGAAAGAAATTTAAACTAGAGCTGGTTGTGGTACATCAGTTGATTCCAGTGTGAGCTTCTCTGTGCACTTTAATTTTTTCTCTGAGTGTAATGATTTAATAATAGTCTAGGTTTTTGTGCTCTTTTCTTTGTACTGCAAGTTAATAATGATTCACGTCATAGTATGGAAGACGGATTCAGATCGTAAGTAAAAATAATTGTAGTGAGTGTGAAATATGGGTATCCTTAAAATTTTGAAACAGATACCTTTGACACTTTATTTCTGTAAATATGTTAATTAATTTTAGTCAATAAAATTTTTATCTTTTAGAATTAGTTGAAGTCCACAGTGTTTCATGCTTTGACTATATATAAATGTGAGTATGGTTGCCTATAAAAGCAATACTATCAGTTGGATTTTTTATGAAATGAAATATCTGTTCTGTGTTGTTTCCAGAGAGACAGAGGGAGAGGAGCAGAGGAGAAAATGATAGAGACTTAGAGATTAATTTGAGTCAAGCATGACTTTCTGTATAATTATTTTTTTAAGTTTATGTATTTATTTTGAGAGAGAGCATGAGCAGGGGAGGGGCAGAGAGAAAGGGAGAGAGAGAATCCCCAGCAGGCTCCATGCCGTCAGCCTAGAACTCGTTGTGGGACTCAAACTCACGAACCATGAGATCATGACCTGAGCCGAAGTCAAGAGCCGGACATTTAACTGACTGAGCCACCCAAGTGCCCATAAGCACAACTTTGTTCATATGAAGGAATTTGATTTCAGAAATGTCCTGTGGCTAAACAAACAGAGCCATCAGGATTAAATGCATCTGCATAATACAAGTGTTAAAGGTGTTTCAAATAAATGTTCAGTATATGGAATTTATGCCATTATTTATGTGTGCTATAATGTTGCTTAGAATTGGGAGTTTGAATTATGTCAGAAAGTAATTTATAGTTGCTGTCCATAGTTGATTAATTTGAAAAGTTTTTTTAACTTTAACTTCCATTGATAAGATATCAGGAAGACATATTTATAATATAATGGCCTTTATTTCCATATCCAGCTTATGGGAGCCGCCTTATTTTTTTATGCTGTGTTCTCCCACTTCCAGAGGGAACTACCTGACTGCTTAAACATTTTGGTAAATATTCTTTCAGACTTCTTATATGCAACAAAACATACATCATCTCAAGTTAAATTTGTTAGGCCTTCCTGACAGTGACCATATGGCTAGGTAGAAGTTTTCATTGGTTTAATGGCCAATTTAACTCCCAGTGTAGGTACCTAAATTAAATGTGACATTCCAAAATGAAATTCTCGATTAGTAGCTCATTTTACACTCCCTAAAAGACCTGCTTTTATGCTCTCTAAAGAGTATATCTAAACCTGTACAAAAATGTAGTAGGTAGTTTTCTCTCCATGAGTCTTGTACAAGAAAGTCTGACCAAAGGCATTGAAGAAAGGACAAGTAGAAGGTGTAATTCCAACTGAGAAGATAATTTCTTCCTGAAATATATTTTCAAAATAATTTTTAACGTTTATTTATTTGAGAGAGAGAGAGAGAGACAGACAGACAGAATCTGAAGCAGGCTCCAGGCTCCAAGCTGTCAGCACACAACCCAGTATGGGGCTCGAACCCATGAACTGCGAGATCATGACCTGAGCCGAAGTCAGATGCTTCACTGACTGAACTACCCAGGCGCCCCTTCCTGAGATGTATTTAATTGCAGATCCTTTCATTCCTTAAGGTACCACCATCGTTACAATACACAGGTCAAAGAAAATATCATTCCTAAGCAATATTAAATACATGCTACTTTTTCACAGAAATAAGATGGGTGTAAGGACAAATGGGAACTGAAACCTCTTAGCATTCTCGTGTGAGTGCTTGGCATGAGTATTGAATACAAATAGAAAGGAACCAATTGCTAGAAAGGAACCAACGTGATATTTTTACACCTACTGCAAATAATATCTGAAGTTCTCCAGTCATAATTTGTGATTATTTTGATTAGGAAAAACCAAAAATAATAAAGAAGTAACATAAAATTATAGAATCTTATCATCCAGAATGGCTGTTAAAATGACATTTTGGTAGATTTTATTGAAGTGAGTTTTTTTCCTACCCTTATATCTTTCTCGTTCCTTTTTTCTCTTTTTTCTTCCTTTCCTAATACATTGGAATAATGCCATAAATACCATTTCGTACTTTGCTTTGCTTATGTAACATTCTACAAGAGCATTTTTCCTGTCCTTTATCTAAAACATAATTTTAATGTATATTAAATAGCCCACCATGTGCATGAGCTATACTTTCTCTAGTTAGCCAATCTGTTGTTGGACATTTAGACTATTTCCAGTTTTTTAACATACTAAAGAACTCATTGGTGCATATTTTTATATCTGTAACCCCAACACTTCATCTGTCATTATATTAGCATAGGTTACTAGGGGTGGGATTATGTAAAAAGTAGATAGATATATTTTCCAGTTTTATTATAAAATTATATATTATTATAAAAATAGTAATTTCCCATAGTCAATGTATTATGGGATGGGTCTGGAATCTGAATTTTTTATTTTTCTGGGACTCTCTTTCTACAAAGCCCTTCTGGCTCTGACCAGTCTTTTGCTCTGACTCTATCCTATGAATTTCTCCCTCTTACCTTAAAGAACGTCTTCTACACCTTATTCACTATTCCAGGGCTCAACAAACTATATTCCACCCACCACTTGTTTTTATCAAGTTTTATTGGAACAAAGCTCTAGTGGACAGGCTCCCAGTGACCCCTGCCTTTTGGTATTCACATTTCACTATAATCCTCTGTCCTTGAGTGTGAACACCACCTGTTACAGGCTCCTAACCACTCAAATATGGCACAGAAATGGTATGTCACCCCCAGGATGGTTATGTTATATAAAATTCTGTCATGCTACCAAACTCACTGTAGAGATTTTCTCCCTTCTCGGCTTTGAAGAAACAAGCTGCCATGTTGTGACAGGGGCTGTCGACACAGCCACGTGGCAGGGAACTGTGGGTGACCTCTAGGAGCTGACCAGTAGCCAATAAGAAGTCGAGGCCCAAGGCCCTCAGCCCTACAGCTGCAAGACAACCTGAGTGCACTAGGAAGTGGATTCTAACCCAGTCAAGCCTGTGGATGAGAACACAGTCCTAACTGACCGTGGTTGCAGCCTTGTGAGAGTCTACACGAAGGACCCAGAGTCCTGACCCATGGTAATTGTGAGGTAATAAATGTGTGTTGATTTAAACTTCTAACTGTAGGGGACGCCTGGATGGCTCAGTCAGTTAAGCATCTGACTTTAGCTCAGGTCAGGATCTCACGGTTCATGAGTTCGAGCCCCACGTGAGGCTCTGTGCTGACAGCTGGGAGCCGGGAACCTGTTTTGGATTCTGTCTCCCTCTCTCTCTGCCCCTCCACCGCCCTCTCAAAACTAAATAAACATTAAAAATTTTTTAATTAGGGGTGCCTGGGTGGCTCAGTTAGTTAAGTGTCTGACTTCGGCTCAGGTCATGATGTCACAGTCCGTGAGTTCGAGCCCCGTGTCGGGTTCTGTGCTGATGGCTCAGAGCCTGGAGCCAGCTTCGGATTCTGTGTCTCCCTCTCTCTCTGCCCCTCCCCTGCTCATGCTCTGTCTCTCTCTGTCTCAAAAATAAAAAAAAAAAAAAAGATTTAAAAAAAATTTTTAATTAATCTATAAATAAATGAATAAACATCTAACTGTATAGTAATTTGTTAGAGTGTATTGGATGGCTAAAACAACAGCCATGCTCTTTTGTTTACATGGAATCGTGTCGTCTCTGACTGCTTTTGCACTATAGAAGCAGAGATGAGTAGTCACAAAAGAGTACCTGACCCAAAAAGCCTAAAACATTTACTACACAGCTCTTTGTAGGAAAAATTTGCAGACTCGTGCCTTCTGTCGTGCTTCCCCGGTGCATCCCTAGAGGAATACAGCAGTTGCCATGGGCTACATAAATCTCTAAGGTGGATCTGGTATATGGTTTCGTAGCATCACTGTAATTTTTGCCAGCCACGTGGCCATCAATTGGAAATTACATTTTCCATCCTCTGCAGCTACTATAGCCATGTGACTAGGTCTCACCAATGAAATGTGAGTGGAAATGACATTTGTCTCCAGTTTTCTTTGCCCTCTCTAGGGCTAAAAGCATAGATTTGCAGCTGGGTCAGCTTTGGCTGAGCAGACGAGGATAATGCCGTCAGGAGTAGGGAGCAACAAGGTAGAAAGAAGCTGGGTCCCTCTATGTCCTGTCGAGCACTGCTGCTGATACGCCCTTGACAAGCTGCCATCTGTATACCATCACATGAGAAGTTAAACATCTCTGTTTGAGCCACTGTGTTGGGGAACTTTTTAATACAGCTGCTTAACCTCGAGCCTAACTAATATGGGGGTAACCTGATTTTAATTAGCCAGTTATTTAGAGACTTTTTTAAAAGATTTATTTTTTTTTTTTTCAACGTTTTTTTTTTTTTTTTTTTTATTTTTGGGACAGAGAGAGACAGAGCATGAACGGGGGAGGGGCAGAGAGAGAGGGAGACACAGAATCAGAAACAGGCTCCAGGCTCTGAGCCATCAGCCCAGAGCCCGACGCGGGGCTCGAACTCACGGACCGCGAGATCGTGACCTGGCTGAAGTCGGACGCTTAACCAACTGCGCCACCCAGGCGCCCCAAAAGATTTATTTTTTTAATGTGAAATTTATTGTCAAATTGGTTTCCATATAACACCTAATGCTCATCCCGGCAGGTGCCCTCCTCAATACCCATCACCCACTTTCCCCTGCCTCCCACCCCCCATCAACCCTCAGTTTATTCTCAGTTTTTAAGAGTCTCTTATGGTTTGGCTCCCTCCCTCTCTTTTTTTTTTTCCCTCCCCCTCCCCCATGGTCTTCTGTTAAGTTTCTCAGGATCCACATAAGAGCAAAAACATATGGTATCTATCTTTCTCTGTATGACTTATTTCACTTAGCATAACACTCTTCAGTTCCATACACATTGCTACAAAAGGCCATATAGTTCATTCTTTCTCATTGCCAAGTAGTATTCCATTGTATATATAAACCACAATTTCTTTATCCATTCATCAGTTGATGGACATTTAAGCTCTTTCCATAATTTGGCTATTGTTGAAAGTGCTGTTATAAACATTGGGGTACAAGGGCCCCTATGCATCAGCACTCCTATATCCCTTGGGTAAATTCCTAGCAGTGCTATTGCTGGGTCATAGGACACACAAAAGTATGGCCAACTAATCTTTGGCAAAGCAGGAAAGAATATCCATTGGAAAAAATGCAGTCTTTTAAAAAATTTTTTTTTTTCAACGTTTATTTATTTTTGGGACAGAGAGAGACAGAGCATGAATGGGGGAGGGGCAGAGAGAGAGGGAGACACAGAATCGGAAACAGGCTCCAGGCTCTGAGCCATCAGCCCAGAGCCCGACACGGGGCTTGAACTCACGGACCGCGAGATCGTGACCTGGCTGAAGTCGGACGCTCAACCGACTGCGCCACCCAGGCGCCCCAAAAAATGCAGTCTTTTTAACAAATGGTGCTGGGAGAACTGGACAGCAACATGCAGAAGAATGAAACTAGACCACTTTCTTACACATTCACAAAAATAAACTCAAAATGGATAAAGGACTTGAATGTGAGACAGGAAACCATCAAAACCCTAGAGGAGAAAGCAGGAAAAAACCTCTCTGACCTCAGCCGCATCAATTTCTTACTTGACCCATCTCCAAAGGCAAGGGAATTAAAAGCAAAAATGAACTCTTGGGACCTCATGAAGATAAAAAGCTTCTGCACTGCAAAGGAAACAATCAACAAAACTAAAAGGCAATTGACGAAATGGGAAAAGGTATTTGCAAATGACATATCGGACAAAGGGCTAGTATCCAAAATCTATAAAGAACTCACCAAACTCCACACCCAAAAAACAAATAATCCAGTGAAGAAATGGGCAGAAAACATGAATAGACACTTCTCTCAAGAAGACATCCAGATGGCCAACAGGCACATGAAAAGATGCTCAATGTCGCTCCTCATCAGGGAAATACAAATGAAAACCACACTGAGATACCACCTCACACCGGTCAGAGTGGCTAAAATGAACAAATCAGGAGACTGTAGATGCTGGAGAGGATGTGGACTAATGGGAACCCTCTTGCACTGTTGGTGGGAATGCAAACTGGTGCAGCCGCTCTGGAAAACAGTGCGGAGGTTGCTCAAAAAAGATTTATTTATTTTTGAGAGAACGCAAGCAGGTTAGGGGCAGAGAGAGAGGGAGACAGAGGATCCGAAGCAGGCTCTACGCTGACAGCAGTGAGCCCAATGCAGGCGCTCGAACTCACGAACCGTGAAACCGTGGCCTGAGCCGAAGTCAGATGCTCAACTGACTGAGCCACCCAGGCACCCTGGCAGCATTTATATTTTTAAAGAGACATGAATATTTTGTGGCATATAGTTGAGAATACATATACATGTTAAGGAGAAAATGAGAAGCTTTAAAAATCTTTGTGCTGGCAGTCTACAGGCTAAACCCATGAGGCTACTGAGAAGGTCACCCCCCTTCCCCAGTGTGGCTCCTTGGGGGAAAAGTTTGAGAAGCCTATGGATATGTATTGTAAATTTCCCCCAAGGCTTCCCATAATCCTTTTTTCCCTGTTGAAGAAGAGGGCCAGGACAATTCTGACTTGTTCTGGCTCATTAGTCAGAAGCTGCTCAGGAATTAGAATGTGAGTTTCAGATGAGTCCATTTTGCTTCCCTGAAACTTTGGTTTTTGTCATCATTATGCAAATAGTTCTACTTGATACAACAGCCCCGTTGAATGCTAAAATTAGGAGCACATTAATTTGAAGGATTTTATAGTAAAGCTTAATGGCATTTATAATTTTAGAGAATTTCAAGGATTTGATCACTGCTCCCTCCCTGCCTCCCCGCCGCCAAACATGTACTTTTGAGGCTTTTAATAGTCCTCTGCTTTTCTCTGAGGTGTGAGGTTGTTCTTGGTGATCGAAGGCCTACGATTTAAATCCAAGCGATGGCAGTTTTCACAGCCTGCTTTGTTTATTTGAAATGGAAAGTTTTTTCTTTCAAAAGAAATAGCCGGCAAAGAGAGGACGGTTGAAGCAGGTCCGTCTAAAAATCTAGAAGATGCCGCAGGATTAGTGAAACTGGCAGGAAAAATAATGAATACGTAATCAGGTTCCCTTAGTAAAAACCCAGAGTTCAGTCATTTTTAGCATCTTTTAATGAGAATCTGAGAATCTCATTTTCTAAATGACTTGGGTTTTTTAAAGTATTTTTTCCTTCCGAGGAATGTAGGTAAAGGACAGAAGGGGAAAGAAAGACATTAATAGTACATTTGCCAGTTGCATTTATTTCTGGAACTGAGTTTTGAAGAACACAATACATCCCACCTGAACTGTTTAAGGAAAAGTCAATAACAAGGTTTTTCTCGTCTGTAATAAATGTAGATTCACCCGGGGGCACAGAGCTGCGTGGTTTCTCAAGGTCTTTCCCCACGCCGCCTTGCTCCCGATGATGCCAGATTTCCTTTTCTGCTGTCTCTAGTCCGCATTCCACATTCTTCCTACAGGTTCACTTCACACTCTTCTTCCACGCCAGTCACGGACGAAGCTGTCCCCAGAACCAGGTGGCTGTATCACTGCCACCTTGGATGCCTCAGCATCCCTCCCCACCCACAAAAGGGGTTATGCTCTGGCAGCAGAACACAGTAATTTTCCAAGCGATCGGAGAGAGTGGTGACTCATCCATCCCAGGCCATGTGCTCTACTTTGCAAGTCCAGCCTCTCACCCTGTTAACACGCTGATGTAAGTAATCCTGTGGACATCGGGGTCCTTAAGAAGTATTGGCTGAGAGGGTTAACAGAGTACATAGTTTTCCTCCCCACGCCTCTCTTATTTTTACAGTACCATCTGAATTCTTTAAAACAAACAAAACCAGGGCACCTGCATAGCTCAGTCAGTTAAGTGTCCGACTTCCGCTTGGGTCGTGATCTCTTAGTTCGTGGGTTCAACCCCCGCATCGGGCTCTGTGCTGACAGCTCAGAGCCTGGAGCCTGCTTCAGATTCTGTGTCTCCCTCTCTCTCTGCCCCTCTCCTGCTCACACTCTGTCTCTCTCTCTCTCTCTCTCTTTCTCAAAAATAAATAAAAAAAGATTTTAAACAAAACCATCATAACTCT